TTTAAGAACGTTCGTTTATTTCTAAAATCGTATGGTAAAATTAGTGCCTGCGTTCCGGTCCAGTGCGATCTGCAAAAATAGTGCTGGCAGCACTGAAGAAAACTGAAGAAAAAAAAATAAAAGTGCATCCACAGTGGAGCTTCTTCTGACAGGTTACGCAAAATACGGAGCGGGGAAGCTTCCCCGCTACACTAACAGCACAACCTGTCAGAAAACCGACAAAGCGTTCGTTTGTTTGAGCAGGCGCATGCTGCGCTGTATGAAGGTGGGAAACTGTGCTGAGGCTGAGCTCTTCATTGCCTTCTGTCAAAGTCATTGAGCTCCTATGGACAGTTTGGGCCTACGGAAAAGCACCATTGGTCCAAGCTGTCCAGTAAAAATGCTGCACGGGTGGCAACTATGATAGCTGCCTCTCACTGACAGTCATAGGAAGGGGGCATGTCTTAGCTGCGACTGAAGTTTTTCAGTCGCAGCTAAGAAGGAGTACCCAGTGCTCGCTGCTGATAGAAATTTGAAATAGAAAGGTACTTTTGTAAAGACTAAATAATTATGTTATGTGTTAAATGATGCTATATTTATTTGAGTTTGTGTTAAATTATTATAAATAGTGCAACTACAATCGCCTACATAATGAGTATCGAATATGTAACTTGTGAATATCTGGCTCTCATACTAGCCAGTGACTCACCAGCCACTGACCTCACCGCACATCCCTGACTTGAATGTATTTTTAAGGTTAAACTCCTGAGTTAAGTGCCACTTTAAGGTCAGGGCTGGGCACTGTACATAGATATAAGGCCTGATTCACACCTAGGCGACAGCGTTTTTCAAGCGTAGAAATGCACATTTTTGCGCATTTTTAAATGTGTAAAATGCGCGTACATTAAGTTGCGTGTTTTAGGAGCAGATTGTGACACGCAACGCAAAACCAATTGCAACGAGCTGTAATCTGCCAAAAAGAAGCTCATGTACTTTTTTCAGCGACAGACGTTTAGCTTATTGCGACAAAACGCTCAGGTATGACAGGGGCCGTAAGAATGAATGGGATTTTTTTGAGGAAGGTTTTTCTGCTGAATCAGCTGCAACCATATGCTCAGTGTGAACCAGCCCAGTGAGGAGTCTTTGTTACCCATAGCAACCAATATTTCTTCTGTTTATGTCATTAGTGCATTAAGGGGAGAATCTGATTGATTGTTTTGGCCAGTAAAGTAAGTTCCTTCACACACTTTCATATACATGAGGTGTACTGTATGGGGGAGTTTTAAAATTCAAGATATGAGGTATGCAGACATCCCAACTCTCCCAGATGCTCCGGGAGTCTCCCGCTATTAGATAGCGGCTCCCGGCCGCCCGGCAGAGTAACCCTTTCCCTGCAATCTTTTTTTTTCTTTTCTGACATCAGGGCCGCCGGCGGTCAGAGAAAAAAAACAAAACAGCATAGGAATAAATAGATAGATTGCTATTGGCTATTTTACTTTGTAATAGCCAATAGCAGACTAGCTATTGCACCCGCCCACTGCTGCTGTCAATCAGCAGAGGTGGACCTGAAGTTCTCCATCAGGTCCTCTTCTAGTGATTGACAGCAGCAGGGGGCGGGTGCAATAGCCAGCTTGCTATTGGATATTGCAAATTGAAATAGCCAATAGCAATCTAGCTATTCATTCCAATGCTGTTTTTTTTTCTTTTTTATTCTGACGGCAGTAGCTGTCAGAATACTAAAAAAAACAGCAGGTAGCAAAGAAGCTTTTTGCTTCCCGTGCTATCTGCCATCATTTCAGGGGGGGGGGGGGGGGGGGGGGGGCAGAGGACACCTCCCTGAAATGAGAAGGGCACCTCCCTGAAATAGCTTTTTTCAGGTTGGGATCCCTGGGTAGGTCAACCCATTTGATTGTTTTAGGCTTTTTTGTAACTGAATACAATAACACAATGACTGCGATATACATACTATAAGTGATAATATGTACAGTATGTTTGACTATATCAATAACTAATCGTTTTCGGAAATTAGCATTATTGTTTTTGGTTCAGTGATAAAAATGTAATGTTTTCTTGTATTGAATTCAAATAGAAAGTTTTACTTTACTTGGTTCAAACAACAGCTTGCCTCCAGGTATATCTGTTTGGACAATGCTGAGCCAGCTGCATTAGAAATATCTGAATGATTCTCTATCATCCTCCACATTCCTAATACATACATGGCTACAGGATATAAACACAAAGGATATAAAATCTTGCTTGCTACATCATGTATGCACTTTCATCAAAAAGTCTAGCATATAGATTTTGTAAAATGCTTGTAAACACACCTAAACTGCATGGCATTGATGTGAGCTGAGTCAAAAAGTTTCTAAAATACAGTAAATGTGAAACACAGATTTTTAACAGACATATGTGCTTTGTGCAGAATAGATTAAGGTAGGAGCTTGTAGTTTTAAAGCTGAACTCCAGGCAGATATAAAAACCAAAAACGATTGCAGCTCTGCAATTATTAATACATCATTATATATACAGGGTTATTCACTTAGCTGCCGAATAACTGAGCCGAAGTGAACAGAGCTGAACGACATTCGGCTATTCACTCCTGCTCAGTATGGCTGATTTCAGCCATACATCGGCTCTATACAGCTGCTTTCGGTCAGCCGAACATGCTCTGCTCCGACCAGCTGGCATTTGCGCGGAGATCGGTCGGCTTTGGCCGACCTTTCTCCAAGCTTCGCCTATCACTACGGCTCAGCCGAGCTGAAGCAAATGCATGCAGCTCGGCTGAGCCGCTCGGCTGCTGTAGGGGCTATTGTGAATGGCCCCTACAGCAGCCCTTCGGTTTGTCTGAACTGAAGAGCATAGGCAGCCGAAGCAAACCAAAGGATCAGCCGAAGCTACGGCTGGATCCTTCGGCTCTTTAGTGAATAACCCTCTTCGTTTTTAAATACAAGCAGTATAAGCGCCTGCATTTAACTCTGTACCAGCCTCTTGCAGACCCTGTACAGAAGAGCTGAGAGAGGGGAAGGAGGAGCAGCGCAAGCTATTTTGGTGTGTTACAATGCAAGGAGCATGTGGATAAGAGGAGAGAGCAGAGTGACAGAGAGATACGTTCCTTAGTGTGCTGCTTCTCCTTTCATTGCCCAACTGTGTATTTAGATGCGTGCCTGAAGTTCGGGTGCAAGGTACCACTAAGTTTCACTCACACTAGGGACACTAGGGCTGGAGTTTGTAGGTTTTGCCTGTGCTTGCCTGGTTTTCCTCCCACACTTCAGAAGCATAGAGGTCATCAGGCTTATGCATAAAACTGCTAGTGTATGGTCCTAGATGGTTCAGTAGATTGTATGCCCCACTGGGGGCAAGGGCTGATTTGAATGGTCTATGTACTGCTGAATATGCTAACATTACATAAATGAATCAAATTGAAAAGTGTATTTGAGATCCATCTTGCAATAGATATCCATTGCATTTAAATTAAATAAAACAGATCATGCAAGGTGAAGAATAGAATTGTCATCCCTCACCTAGCTCAGATGATTCTAAGTATGGCTTAGCAATACCTAACAAGAACTGATATGTTTGAGAATGGGGATTGTAGAAGGAACCTACCTGGCCATACATCATGCGAATTTCAGACGATTCTTGATGAACCGGACAAAATTAGCACAGTGAGTGCTGCTGTCATCACCCTTCCGGACAGCATCCCTTGATCAGAAGATTGAAGGAGCCATATGGAAGATATATGGCTGAATTGAGTTTGCAACCAATCAGCTGCAAGCACCATTCTGGCATTCTGACAGCAGGCAACACTCGCTGTCAGAATACATTGAAAACAGCAGGGGATTCCACCATCAATACTTGTAAGCATGGATGGAGGAATATGTTATAATTTCTTTGTTCAGCCCGCAAGTTGAACAAAGAAACTATAACACTGTATGGCCAGCTTTAGACAAGTGTCCCAGTCAGATTCCCGTTGTCATTTTTCTAGTAAAGGTTGCAATCAGTTTCAGTGGCTGTCTCAAAACTAGGCTCATCTAGTTCATCTGAACCCGAAAGCAATATGTCAGTACCAGCCCAATCAGCTGCGGCTGGGGCATTCCCCACCCCGCAGCTGAAGGTAATCAAAGGAGCAGGGTGTTGGTGCCCTCATTGACCTTATATGGCCACATGGCAATATTTGACATTGACCTATATGGCCATGTAAAAGGGATGGGCAACTCTGGCCCTCAGCTGTTGTGGAACTACAAGTCCCATGAAGCATTGCAAGATGGACACTTACAGGCATGACTCCCAGAGGCAAAGGCATGTTGGGATTTGCAGTTAAACACAGCTGGAGAGCCAGAGTTGCCCACCTCTGACATATAAGGTGAAAGAAATCACAGGCACCGTTGTTTACTTGCAGCACCAACGGCGGGGAATGCCCCAGCCGCAGCTGATTGAGCTGCCAGTGACAGCTTCCTTCTGGGCTCAGACGAATTAAAGTTTAGACCAAACCTGAGCACATCCCTATTTAGAGAGCCTTTATTCTAGCCGATAATGTTCAGGACCACTCAGGTGATTAAATTACGCTAAATTCCCCTCTCTCTCTATATATAAATAATAAAGTTATTAGGTTACATTCCTATTCAAATTCCTGCAATGGTATCCTATGGTAAGCATGACTGCTCTGCAGTATGCAACGCATCTTCACCGTATCAATATGCGAACACGTCTAAACAGAATTGACCTTTTTTTCATGCATAAGAACGTAAGTTGACATTACAGCTATATTGTTGGAAATCAGCATTAGATATGATTTATACATAGCTTGATTTTTGGCATTTGACCAACAAATATATTTGTAACTGTCGTTTTTACAGTAAGCTAGGCAAGTGATCAGCACAGACGGAGTTAACTGTCACATCCTATACAACTGACAGGACACAGGGCTGTTACTAAGTTACTCTGCTTTCTCCATCTTATTGGCTGTGGTTGCCTGTCTGCAATGGCTGCTGATAGGTGCTTCATCCTCTGTGTTGTTCTCCGCACACACCTCTAGGAGGGATTCCGTCAGATTCTGTATGGCAACAGCATGCGTGTGTAGGGGGGCAGGAGAAGGTTTACATCTTTAAGGGGTGTAGGGACGCTGCCTTAGATGGGAAACAACAAGCAAGTACCCAGGCTGTGCAGAGAGACACCCTGCTGCAACTGAGCTGCACATGCTTTAATGTGGTTGTAAAGCAAGGCAGTGGGTGCAGGATAAGAGAATTAGCCTCAGGAGCAGATTGCCACTGCAGGATTTTCTCTCTTCATCCATCTTCCACCCAGATCCTTGTCTACAAAACAAATCCCATTCGGGAGCACCAAAAATCAGGGTTACTCTTGACAATAAATGAGGTAAGCACACCCCTCACCTACATCCATGCTTTTTTTTTTTTTTTTACAGGTGACTTTAACTCTTCCAAGTGCAGGCTGAAAAGGTGATTGTGTTTATATGAGCTGTCAATGTGTTAACCCAGTTATTGCCTTTGCTTAGTTCTCATGTAGACAGTAGCATGTGCCTGCAGTGACAGCTCCAGGTATATCTTGTTTATGCACTGTGGCTATATTACCTACAATATTCAACACAATTTGTATATTTATGGGAGTTTCCCAGTAGTGTTATGTAAACAGGATATTAGTCCTGTGTACATATTTAATAGATTATATATTCTTTAGTGAAATGTTTATGGGTCATTCGTTTGTTTATGTATTAAGACAGTCGATTGGATACATGTGTGTAAACGAAACAGTCTTCCCTGGGTCTTATAGATGATGGGATCTGTTTATAAATGTTTTCACCCAAAATGTACACCTTTTTCCCCGATTGAACCTAATTGCGTGAATGTTGGGTGTAAACATTTATTACTGGACCCCATTTTAGGAATTCTACCAGTTAAATCTCACCAAATGCAGACTACCCAGTGTTGGCATCTATGTAACAGGACATCCAGACCACCCCTGCTCTATGTTTGTTTGGAAGCCTACAGGCAATTTGTATATCAAATTTTCCTGCCAGGGAAAGGTTAATTATTTCTGTACTTGGTTGCCTGTAAGTGCTTTCTTCATGCATCACTTGCTGTTTTGTCTGCTGGCCCTTGCACATTTTGTGCTTTTGCTAATCCATTTGATGTTTACGGTCTATAATAATATAATAATCTAATATAAAGCGCATGTTTGTATTTCATGTACTGTACATTGCTGCAGACAGAGTGTGTGCTATGCTAGGTATGATGATTCACATACACAAATGCGTTCTGTTCTGACCTACTTTTCTGACAAGAGGTGACACAAGGAGGATTCTCTGTTTAAAAACATGGAAATTCTGGTAATACATTTCTATGTAGATTTCTAATTAGTACGGTCATTAAAATTGTCCAACTGATCAAATATGTCATATCTATGTATACTTTTCCCATGTAACCTCAGAGAGGGAAAAACTACAGTACAGACTTATTGGCTGTCTTCTGGTACTTGTACAAAGGTTATTCACTGGTAAACAGACTGCAGTAATCTGTATGCAAGCCAGCAGAGAAAGGTTCTGCAATACATTAATAAGACATCTTGGGTTTGCTCTGCAGACTTCTACCAAATACCCCAGGGATGGACTTTGCAGGTATCATGTAAACAAGCATGGTCAGTGAGTGCAGCTTCTGCAATGATAAGCAAGTAGCTATAAACCACTAGAATTCAGACTGTAAGCAAGCATAATCTGAAGCTCCACAGAAGTCATTACAAGCCTGCTTTGTGGCAACTGGAGAAGGAGAAAAGACTCTAGAAAAATGCACTGTAATCCTTTTCTGTGCCATTTATGAGAACTGCATATTGTGCCACAAATGTAAAGCATATAATTACTCTACTAACCTTTTTGCAGCAGATGATAAGGTTTCTCATCAATGTTAATCATACTGACAGTCATTTATTACGTTAACAAAAATACTCATTAATCTGTAGCCAGTCGATGAAAACTTGGTTGGAAGGAGTTGCTGGCCTTGCATTAGCAACAGCAGTGAGTAGTTACCCATAGCAACCAGTAAAACAATTCCTTTTAATCAGTGAGTGTACAAGCTCTCAAGATTCTGACTGATCACTTTGGGTTACCTTTGCACATAGTTGGGTGTATATTCCTAAAGCAGGGAGTCTGACATTCACTGTAGGTGACTCTCCGGTGCATGTGTTTTTAAATGTACAAAGTCCAATGAGAGCACCAAACGAAAAGTCAAAGAGGGCAATTTGTCAAAACTGGAGAAGACAGAATCTGGAGCAGTTGCCCATGACAACCAATCAGCATCTACTTTTCATTTTCAAAGCTTAACTGAACAGACTGAAGATAGAATCTGATTAGATACTATGGACAACTGCTCCAAATTCTGTCTGCTCCAAGAGTCCAAACTCTATCAATGGTGGTATTAGTTCATGACAGGATGACACAAAACAGCCAATGCATCTCAGGGCCCCCCAACAAATCTACCCCTTTTTCGGGGCTCAGGTGTTGTGGCCTCAGAGATGGCATCATCACCAGAAACTATTTTTTGTAAGAAGCTACAGGATGCCAGAGGTCGCTGTGCCAGTAGAATGACAGAGTCCTATCTTTTAGAACTCCAGAGCACAGAAGAGGGGGAAGATGTTTTTGGGCCCCCCGGGAGATGTTGCTCTGATTGCTCTGATCCTCTGATTGATTGATTTACTGAAGATTTGAATCCAGTTCCTCATTTTCACTTGTTTGGGCATGTGTTTTAAAGGACATTGATTGATTCTTCACCAGTGAATGTACAGTGGAAGTCACATTCACTGCTTTAAAAATATATGCCCTTGGTTGCCTTTTTATATAAAGGTCACCGAGCGCACATACATTATTTATTAATCCTGTATGGTTTATTACATGTTATGCTGTGAGCTACAGCACATTGATTTGTTGCAAGCAACGCACTTTATACTCTTTCACTGCAAGGTACATAAGGGAAGCAGGTGCTTGGTTGCTATTGGCTGTGTTAATGTGGATGCTTTCTCTTATCCTAATATTAAACCAATTATTAACCAGTTCTTTTGGCTCTTATTTTATTGTAATTTTAGCTGGATATAATGTGCTTGCTGGCAGCTCAGCAATACCGGGGTGACTTAGGGCTAGATGAAACCCAAGCAATGAAAAGCAGGGTCTTTAAACCACTATAGATTATTCTCCTGTTTGCATAAAAGCTTTAAACTAGAATCATCTGAAGTCTACCTGTTTAAAGTAACAATGTGAGAAGGCGACGTATCTGCGTATATAGTATTCTGGCCCTAATGCACAGAAGCCCATATGATCCTTTCTTATATCCTTGCATTTTCTTTACATCGCTTCTTCCTAAAGTTGTGGGGTCACTTATGTTTGCTGCAACACATCCTCAGAATAGATGGTACTGAGGATGCATCAGGATTTTTGTACAGGGCAGCAATGTTGTAGAATATGCTAACTGTACAGTGGCGTAACAACCGGGGGGGCACTTGCCCCGGGCGCAGGACTGAGGGGGGGCGCCGTCACGACCCCCGCTAAACGAAGCCATGGCTCCCTCTCTCTGACACGATCACCCGGCTGTCATCGGGCGGCCGCTCGCTCTTCCGAGGCCACTGCGAGCGGGCCTCTACTAGAGATGGGTAGCTCATGAGCGATCCGGATCTTTTGAGCGGGTCCCTCAGAAGAATGAAAGAGCGGTGGCTCAGTAAAAATGAGCGGCGGTTCTTCTGGTCGGTGATCTGTGGATGTAATGTAGAAGCAGAGAGTGAGACAGGTGTGTAATCGGCTCTTATAGAGTGAGAGCCAGGCTTCTGCCAGCCCTACCCAGCCCACCCCTGCAGCCAATCACATGTGTGAGAGACGGATCTGTGAGCCCAGGAGACGGATCGATTCAGGAATGATTTGGTTCTTTCGCTCCTTTGCATCTTTGAATCTGACTCTCGATAGATCAGGAACGATAGAGTTCTTCCGCTCATCGTGCCTTCTCCATGATACTGATTGAGATCCGCTCAAAAGGTTCACTCATTCTACACTACAGCCTTCCTCCGCCTTATGAATTGTGCTGCTGTTTTTAAGGTAAGTACATTCATTTGAATTATAATAATTAGTGTAGCGGTGGAATCGGGGAAGTGTGAGTTGGAGGGGTGCTGGTGATATAGTGCTCACTTTTATTATAATTATTCTGACTCCTATCGTTGTGATAGCGAAATATATCCCTTGCTGAGACCTCTATGCCTGGCCTGTATAAGCAGATATACTCACTGCGGACAATCCTCGTCAGATAGCTGAACTCGTCAATAACGATTCATTCAAAAGAGGTGTTTATTCTTTAACATCAGGTTACAGCAGATGATAGGAACAGCAGTTGAACGGTTATAGTATTGTGCGGTCAGAAAATTATGCCTTTCCTACGTACTGTGCAGATTACATGTGTGTCCTTGTTACATGTGGCTTCTAACTGTGGCCATGACACAGGAAGTACTGCACACAGGAAGAAGGAAAGGGCGTACACTAGGGGAAAATACGTCGTCACATGAGGAATAATTACAGAAAGCATGTTTGTTACAACAAAAGGCCACTAGATGGCAGCATTGGATAACACATGAATTTAGCTATGAGAAAATAGTTAGGCAAATCACACTATGTAAAACTTCTATCTATACTAACTTCTACAACATATTCTATGCCCCATTGGGGCGGCACACTCCCCGTCTGGCATGGTAAATGTCACTATTTAAATCATAACGGTAGTTATGCAAATAAACAATTAACAACTATTAAAGTCCATAAATGTGAACTTGTAACTTGTCCTCTGGACCTGAAAATAAAGAAAGAACATATATCCACAATTCAAATATAAGATGAAATCTGGAACAGTCCTTTCAAGTGCAGTAAGTCACTCCGTGGGTGGCAACTTGTTAAGTTCCTTAATAGAGAAACAAGATAGTCTCTTTGGCAGGCAGAAGGCACTTCGAATAAGTCCTTCACTGGATGTGCATGGTGCACGTAGGTACCTGAAGAACATGGCTCATGTAACTCCAGGTGCAAAGTCTCCATGTGAAACAAACACAGTTCCAATCTTCTGCATGCGAAGAGTAGC